TGGCCATAAACTGAGAGAAGTGGTCGTTGAGCGCCAGATCGGGCTCTTCTTCGGCGTCCGTTTTGTCCGATTTGTTGAGATATGACTCAAAGAAGTTGAAGAGCTTTTGATTGTCGTAATCATTGTGGAGATCACAGTCTGTGGAGAGGAAGACAAATGTAGACAACAATCACATGACGTTTAGTTGACATTCATATGACAATCAATACAAACCGTGGACTGAATGCGTCGAGTGATCCGACTCTTCGTCCAAATCGATGTCGGCTTCGAAGGAGGTCTCCATTGCAAGAGTCAATCCAATGATTGGTCGATCCGAGGGGTGAGAGAGTGAGCGCCGGGTCATCACATTTGGCGCCCAAACCAGTGCTCAACAATCGGCGCCATATGTGTCGCCCCAAGTGTTGAATACGCGAACCACTCACTGATTGGTGGCTGCGTTCACATCACTGCTCAACACGTGGTGTCACTACTCGTATAGCGTTTGGTGCGAATTGAGTCACATATTAGGCAATAGTGTTGGCAATAGTGAAGAGTACTGTCGTTGACGTGAAGTAATACATGCGTTCACAGAGTGTGCACATGTCATAAGCCATTCAATCCATTACTAATACGTATAACACTTTTTTAATTGCATTTTTGTCTCACGTTTTCATTGAATCAATTAATTTAATTGTCATTTCATTTGTTTCGTTCAAATTGTTATACCATTTGTCTGTTATTTATATCTAAATTAACCGACATTTTGATCAATAGATTATTATATATAATAATCAGTGATATATTTATTGACCGACTTTTGATCGCCTTATTGTTAACGTAAGCGCTAATCGTTTTACCACAAGAACTGGTCATCCATTAGAGAAGACAATGCCGTCGGACAACAAGAAGAAGAGAGACGCCAAGAAGAAAGAGATGGCCAAACAGAAGGTTCAGCCGAAGAAAGTGGGCGACGAGGAGACAAACGGCTCGACCAACGGTACGGAAGTGACCACTAATGGGAACGGATTGCCGATCAGTGAAGAGGAGAAACTCGTGAAGTCGTTGGAGAAGGACATGGATTTGAACGCCGAGTCGAGAGCGTGTACTGGAGTTCTGGGAATACATCCGCGTTCGCGAGACATTAAAATTCACAACTTTTCCATCACTTTTCATGGCGTAGAGCTCTTTCAGGACACAAAAGTGGAGTTGAGTTGCGGCCGAAGGTATGGTCTGATAGGACTGAACGGCTGCGGAAAGTCGACTTTATTGGCGGCGTTGGGCCGCCGAGAGGTTCCGGTTCAGGACCACATCGATATCTATTACTTGACTCGTGAAATGCCGCCGTCAGAGAAGACGGCACTCGAATCGGTTCTCGATGTCGATCAGGAAAGGGTTCGGTTGGAAGCGTTGTCCGAAGAGTTGGCCCAATACGATGACGAGGAGAGTCAGGACCAGTTGATGGATATCTACGAACGTCTCGATGAGATCGGAGCCGACAAAGCGCAGGCAAAAGCGGCGTATATTTTGAGTGGTTTGGGGTTTACTAAAGACATGCAAAACAAGAAAACCAAAGACTTTTCCGGCGGATGGAGAATGAGGATAGCGTTGGCCAGAGCTCTATATGTCAAACCACATCTACTACTGCTCGACGAACCGACCAATCATTTGGATTTAGACGCCTGCGTTTGGCTCGAAGAGGAGCTTAAGTCCTATAAACGCATTTTGGTCTTAATATCTCATTCGCAGGACTTTCTGAATGGTGTTTGCAATCAAATCATTCATATCGATAATAAACAGCTTAAGAATTACGGCGGAAACTATGACGCCTTCGTGAAGACTCGGGAAGAGCTGTTGGAGAATCAAATGAAACGATATAATTGGGAACAATCGCAAATGGCTCACATGAAGGTAACCATTCATATTACTATTGACAGCATTTTGCCACCAAAAGTAGTACTAACTCTAGTGATGACTAAAAGGCCGAGTTGTAGGGACTCGAGCGCCGCTCGAGTGTTAAACTTGAGTGGTGTTTGAGATTCAATGATCCAAAAGCTCGAAGCGATTAATTACTATCTGAATATTTATTACATTAATTTGTTTGTTTGAATGTGTGTTTTGTTTGAGTAATAACTGTATTAGTAATAGTGATGTTATAACTTGTTTACAGGACTATATCGCGCGTTTCGGTCACGGGAGCGCCAAACTCGCCCGACAGGCGCAGAGCAAAGAGAAGACTTTGGCCAAAATGGTTGCCGGAGGTCTGGCCGACAAAGTGGTGAGCGATAAGACGGTGTCATTCAACTTCCCCTCGTGTGGGAATATCCCTCCGCCAGTCATTATGGTTCAGAACGTGTCCTTTCGCTACAACCCGGAGACGCCTTATATCTACAAGAATCTGGACTTTGGTATAGAC